AGTCAAAAAATGATATAATTACATAGTAGCCCAAGTAGTCATGACCTTCAGTGGCTATTTTTGACGTGAAAAATACCACAAAAATAGGACTCTTAACCTTTTAAAACTGATATACACCTTTACCTACCTTTATGTACAACACTTGGCTGCCACTTTGACTGAAGAAAAATATGATACCATTTTTAAAAAAAACTTATTTGTAGTTAATGTGTTAACTACTACCTCAACATTTAATTATAATATATTTACATCATGCTGTTAATAAAATCTGGACTGAAACTACTTTGTAAAGATTAGATTTGAGAATGACATTTTTGAAAAACTGTTTTCTTAAAATGTACTTTGAAAGTAGGTACTGTATATTTGCTCAGGGATATACAAATTATGAATTCAGCGGTATACATCAAAAAGAACTAGTCTTCGAGCTAATTCGACTTATGGTAATGGGTCAGTGAGAACGTCATAGTGAAACAAACAATATGGTACATTGCGTATGTATTGTCATTTTCAGATGCATGATACTTATTAGAATGTATTTCTACTTAGTATAGCTCATAACCTAAAGGATGATTTTCACCTTTTGAACTAGAATAAAAGATTTTTCAAATTTAAGTGATGAATGCCTTCCATATTGGTTGAAAGTTTGATTAAAATTATCATATGTACTCTGCGGTGATACTATACCTCAAAACGTGGATTGTTTCACGAAATTTTGGTTTACATGATTCATTTGTTAACTTCTGATAAATGTCTTTAATGTTTAAATTGTGATTGTGCACAACTCCTGAAACAGCAAAAACATTTTGTTAAGTTGCTAATTCACCATTCAATTGTATTTACAATACTGTAAGCAATTGTGTTTTTAAAAAGTCCATCATTTGCAAAATTTGAGTGATTTATCAGAAGCATGTCAGTCAAGGATTTTAGCTGAACTCACTTGGTCTGTGTGAAATTATTTAGCTTGGGCTCTTCGGTATTAGAATGCCAATGCACAACTGTGCTATATAATTACTTATTGATGATTAATTTGATTGTTAATAAAGTATTTGAGGGAGTATGTAGTTTCTTTCTTTCAGTATAAATTCTACACACTACCTGGTACATCTTTTATGCATGCTTACAGTGATACTTCAATAGACCATATACTGTAAAATACTTTATTTTCGCTTGGAATTAATTTTCGCTGAAGGAGTGATTCAGTGATAATAAAATCCAGTGAATGTACTTTTTTTCCTATATTTTACATTGAACTTGCCAAAAATCAGTGAAAATAAATTCCACACAAAATACCCAAGATGTCTTTTCAGCGAAAATTAATTCCAGTGAAAATAAATTATTTCACAGTATACCATTGTTATTGAAGACGCATGTTTTTTTTTTACAGATTAAATGTGTGCGAGTATACTACATGTATATAAATCACAAATCCATAGTTTGATCTGATACAGATTATGGAAACCTAATATTATTGTGCTCACTCTTATTTTGCAGGGTAGTATTGAAGAGAAAATTTATCAGCGACAGATATCAAAGCAAGGACTCAGTGGAGCTGTTGTGGATTATAGGAAAGATAATAATACCAAATTTTCACAAGCTGATCTTAAGGTTAGAAGCGTATTTCTAATTTTACCAGCTTCATACATTCTGTGGAGTTGTTAGGGATTTGTTCAACTAGGGATATACATTTGTTATGATAGTTGTTAATAAATAGCATGACATTGATTGGTTTATTATGTACAATTATGGAGCTAAAGTTTCAAGATAACATGAGAAAATTGGCCTAATTGTTTTCAAAAATTGCTATTTTTGAACAATTCAATAGAAATGCACTGAAAAAGCAAAATAGCATTTATTTTGTCACTTTTTAAAACCCATATGTTTGAAATAAATAATAATAACACTTATTTCATCAGTCACGATATATAATCTTTTCACCCTATAGCACCAGCTTATAATTTCAGGTTTGGTATTTTCTTTCTACCATAAGAACCAATAGTTTTATCCTGTAATAGTGGAAAATTGTTGCCATTTACTATAAATACAACCTGAACCATTATTTTCTTGAAAAATAGGCTGGTAAAATTCAACTCTTTTTTAAGTCAATATCAAATATTGATTGACCGTGGGTGTACAATTTATTGCAACTTGGGAGTAACAATGCTGACATATTCCTATTTCTGAGGTGGTATTGCCCCATTTTGTTTTCGGTGAGGGTTCACCATAATGTATCAACATAACAAAGGGCACAAACAATACAGTACATCACTGAATTACTAGCTGCAAAATGGATTTATGTATATGTGCACATCATACTCACATAATAATCACTGATTTGAGAATGTAAAGACACATTTTCCAGTTGTTTTTTTTTTACTTAGATAATATTTTCCCGCATGATGTTCTAATTATCCTAAGTTATTATCCACACAAGTAAATGTAAAGCACTCAAAAGTGACTCAAGCTAGGTTGAGTCAGATAAAAAGCCATTTATAAGTAACAGCAACAACTTTAACAGTATAATATGTATAACCAGAAAACAAACAATATATTGACCTGTAGGTATGCACAAATCTTGAACTTCGAAGAGGGTGCCCATTTAAAAGCCAGCAAAATGACTTGGCATGTACAAATAATAATGAAGTACATTAAGTAAAAATGATTGTACATCAAAGCAATTGCATTGGATGCCCCAAGAGAACCAAGCCAATTCTAAAAATGTGCTGTATTTTCTGTTTATTACTTTGTCATATAGGATTTATTCAGTTTACATGAGAACACCGACTGTGTTACACATGATTTACTGGATTGTCAGTGCAGTCATCAAACAGAAAGTGAACCAAGTAACTCATCACATTCAAAGGTGAGATTGAGCATGTGTACTGAAGGTTTTCCAATCTTAGTGCTGTTGAAGACTTAGACTGGAAAACCCACATATCAAAAGAACTTTCTTTGTTGGGAGTACTGACACAAATTTAGGAAGTTACTGTCTAACTGTCATTTGTCATTTGTCATTTATCAATAAGAGTAATGTGTTTCTGCCTAAAAATTGAATCTTGTCTCATAATGTAGATTTTATCTGCATTTGTTGATACATGATGAGTATGTGTTAGTTTGAGTCTTGCAAGCTGTAATGATGTAATTGAGTAATAATATATACCGAGGTAGTGTTTATTTATTCCTGTTTCAGATTGTAAACGTATATCTGTCTTGTTATTGGTATGCATGTACTTGCCTTTATCATATCGTGATGAACCACATTTATATATGTATGTTCACATTTGTTACAGAATGCATCTATGGCTGAATTGGCTAGATGGCAACACCATTGCCCACCTTTTGATGATAGCTTACATGTGAGTTATAATCATTTACTCACTAAAGAGAGTACCTGCTCAATGCATCGTCTTGTGATGTGCATATCTACCTCTTATAATATTGCACTCCAAATCGTCGATGAAGTGTCCCGGCCATACATGCCAACCCTCAGACCATTGATACATTATTCAGCGGCATAGATGCAAGGCCAATATACAAGAACAGATCTAAGGCTTAATATTTATTGTTGTATTTAATTATTTATCCTTATTTATCTAGTTATCTAAACTAAAATGATTTTCATGATCCGAGAATTGTTTTCTACATTGAGACAGATTATTATCTCCTTTAAAAAATGACCAGTTTGCTGACGCATTTGATTATTATAAAGCTCTTCGTTGTTGAAGTATTACATTTCATGTGCTATATTTGCTCTGTTAGTAGCGTCAAAATAACTCATATATAAATTAATTGTTGGTTGATATGCGCTTCAGCTAGATGTGTTTTTAATAGAGCAGAGAAGGTTTTTTTTAGTCAATTACATGCTTTGACAAAAATTTTTGTAATTCACTGTTTTGTTGTGTCATTCTCATACACCGAATTGTTTTCCTCTCCACTCTTCAAAACAGAGCAACAATTCATGCAGTCTATAAATGAAAAAGTCAGTAAAATGATTGCACACAGTAACTTAAATATCATTTACTTATTAACTTCCCTGTCCCTTCTCACATGACATATTTACTCTCAGACTCCTTCCTCTTTTAATACTACATTTGCCGTGTACATGATTCAATTGTCACATGGCTCATTACTCCAAGCAGTATTAAATTATTATTTTTTGTGTTATGTGACATTGATAAACACATCAGGCGAAACATATATGCAGATTGACCTCCTGTTTATTCTTCTATTACAGGATTCACATCTTTTAGAAGTTGCAAGACATGAAGGTGCAGTCAGTTTTGTATTTCAAACACAGACAAATCATTCCACACAGTCGACTGTGCCGAGAAATGTCTGAATAGCTGGAATTACATTTGTCATTGATGAATAAACTTGCCTCTTTTATGCTCTCCTTTTTCTAAAGTAAAGTAAAGTATCCCCCTTATTTAATACTAATCTTGTCATGCGAGTTGAAAACCGATATATGCAAATCAGAAGATCCTACTTATATTCATGCTTGACCTTTCCATACTGCCCAGACACTAATCTGCACTATAAGAAAGATGTTTTTATGTCATTGATGGCCACTTGTCTGAAAATGCTGACATAATTTAATATTTTTATTTATATTTATTTACTTAATGATAATGAATAATATGTTTAGAAAAGTTATTAACATGATGATATGATACTTAGCTGTACATATTTACATGTTTCTCATAAAATGAAGAAAATGCTCTCCTCAATGTTTAAAAGAAGATTATCTCGTATTCCTTAAAAATGATATTTTTAGTATTTGTTGCCATTGGTGACAACTAGGAAACCGGTTATGGGATGTTGCTTAGAGCTTGCAATTACCGGTAAGAACTAGGAATTGGTTACGTCAAGATTTTAGAAATTACCCATAGCATTTATTCATATCAGGATTTTCTGTTTTAACTCTGTTTCAAATAATCAATAAAAAATACTCTGTATATACACTTACAAATAACATACATTATCAGTACTTATTGAAATTGTTTATATGTATCAATTGTAGACTTGTGTTTAATAAGACTGATCTTCAGAAATGAGTTTGGACGGTATAGAATGGAGCCCACACTTAATCCTGAACACCAGTCTTATTGAGCGCCAATTGGTTTGGAAGTTAATCATCGGTCAAGCTGTATTGACATGCTGTCAAATCTGATTGGAATTTGAACCCCAAAAATCTAAAATTGTAGCCAATTTCGGGATTTGTATCATTTTAAGTTTGAACTTCGAAGATGTACCGAATCGGAATGTATTTATACAGTCGATACCGTCAGACTGCATTATAGTCAGAACACTGATTAGTGACTAATTCAGTGATAGTTGACGTGTTCAGAGATGTCCGCACCGTGAAACTGTTCGGGATTTCAAATTAGACCAATCGTATCTGAAAATGAATGTTGTTGGCTCTCGGAATCGACGAACGACATATTGACTTAATATTGTTTCCTGAGTCGATTGCGCATAAAGACCAATAACATTTGTTTATACGTGTGTCTGATATTTTAACCATGGCATATCGTTCAAGCATTTTGTCAAGATTCGGGTTTGTAACATATTGGTGCAATAAAATGTATTTATATAATGTACAGTTTAGTTGTTGCAAATATCCAGTGGGAGGAGATTTAATAAGTAAAGAACAAACGTTTTTCAAATGCCGATTCAAAGCCAATATACTGTGCGTTCTACATTAATTTTACCTGTATTGGTTTCTTATGCATCTATTGATATTTTGTGTTCTCTGTAGAACATATTGTTTTGTATGATCACCCGTTTTATGACACATGACATTAATTTGGATTTCAGTCCCCGTTCTGAAGTTGTATTCTCGCATCCAGGCATGTACACGCACATGTCTTTCAGACATGTTGATTTCATTCAAACAAAACACAGTCACGCATCCCATATGCACATGCATTTGTTTTATGATCTAATTCAAGTTGACGGAATGGCGGCTATTTTAGTGCTGAGAATTCATCAAAATCGAACAATTCCATAACCAGATCCCAGTCATGCATTTACGTATTTCATTGACAAACTTGATATATATAAACTGGACGCCTCGAATATGACATAGCGGAGCTGTTCGTGTGGGTGGTCGTCTGTTAACAATTATATTTTCGACCTCTTGAAACCTACCAGTTCAATGTCTTTGACACCTTTGTAGGTACCTTGCTTGCGTGGACCTTTGTTAGATTTACTCATTTTGTTATATTTTCAATTCTCTATTTCATGCTATTTATTCTCACTCGCGGCCATTTTTTCAACAGCTTAATTGCTTCGATACTTGAGGTCCATTGGTTGACCTACATGGAAATTGTAACAATTTCAAATTGTTTTGAGATAGACTCTACGAAATCAGTGGTGCTATTTTGACCGTTAGGTCTCCAGATCCAATTGAAAATGGCCGACTTGGGGCCATTTTGTGTTAACAAATGACATAAAACTCTTGATTTCGCATCTACATAAAATGCATGGAAATATTTTATTCTAGTTTTGTACGGATGTGGAATACGATAATACGATTATACATGTTTTTACCCGGATCAGATTCAACATTGCTGACTACTCGCCATTTTGCAGTAACGAAAGGTGTTCTAGAGCCGTGTCGCTGACAAATTTATTGTACGATTGTCGTTCATGAACGATAGTTACCACCAAGAACTTTAACATTATTCAACTGAGATAACAACTGAAATTCTATCTTCTTTACATGGCCAAGTTTCAAATTAAATATTTAATCATAACCCTAAGTGACTGAGTGATAACCTAGTTGAAGGTACATTTTCGAATGTGAATGACATGGGTTTGCTAAAATCGAGTGAGTAGCACGACAAAGTCGCCGCTTGTTTTTTTCCTGGTTGTGTGTAATATTAGCTATCAGGTCATCTGAAAAAGCAGACGTGACCTCGCAGTGACACGAAATATTGTGAAAATAATTGGAAAAAAAATCTATTCTGCTGATTCACCAACATAGTAAAAAAAAAACATGGTATTTTCTGACAATTTTGAAAAGTGAAAAGAACATGTATATTTTAGTTTGGTAATATGAAGCATCCAACTCTGACACGCCGCCCTGCTATCACACCACTTCTGTATCATTGCTCAACATGTAACTAAATATCAGGCCGTTTTTTAGACAAAATAAATCCTAGTTTAAACGCCACACGTTAATACAATATACGTGTGCACACAAAGAAAACGCCAATGTACTCAATTATTTAAAATCAGATTTTTGTAATGAGCACGATTTGGCTGTTTGTCACAATGGACTGGATCATGGTGAACCCTATTGTCAGAATGTCAAGGACAGAACATCAAAGTGATGCATTTCCATATCCAATTCTACTTGGCACTAAACTCAACTCTCAATGATAACAGTACATTACACTAATCAGTACTGTTTGTGTTCATTTGACTCGTAGTAAATACATACTTTAATAAAGCGGTTAACTATTATGACGGACCAAAAAATCATTTTCCAGCTGTCCCGGTGTTTTCATGAATATACTTACATTTTATCTTAACATTGTATGTTAACCGGGTACTAAAAGATCAGCAGAGCCATAGTGTATTCATGTAACTCCATTTGTCTCGTTCTTGCATAAATCCCACCACAGCCATTCTCGTTATATGTATAACATGTATTTTTGTACGGAGGATCAGTCAGCATCACAGTCAGTAAAACTATATAATCCGTGCAGTAAAATGTTAGTACATATTACCATCTACAGACATAGTTAATCAGTGCAATGGATGACACTAGCATAAAACAGGAAATCAAGACTGCACCGTCATCAGAACTATGCAAGTAGTAAGGGTTCTTAAAACAGAACATTCATAGACTGTCGACAATCCCTCTGGTCTAATATTTTGTTTTTGAAAATGAATAGCGATCAGTTTTCAGAGGTCTGCTAAAACACAGTTGTGCATTTACAGTCAAAACAATAAATTCAAAAATATACCAGCTAGCTACGATCGTGTACTATGCCGTTGTTGCTGGGAAAGGATTGACCAGCTTTGTTATTAGTCCAAGAAAATTGTTCAGCTTGGAATGTGTCTGAATCCCTCATTACTATGCAAAAATGTAGGAATGTACCAAGAAAATTGTTTTTCTGGAGTAAATTGTAGTGTCTTTTACTTATGAAAGGTCAAAAAGTGCATGGAGATTTTATGAAAATGTGTGGATGTTAACAGAATGATGTCGTGTGGTAAGTTGCGCAATGAATTATGGACTATTTTGAGCGTAGCTATAAAATGTGTCACCGAAGTACTCACACGTGTGCACGATTCCAAAAGTTTGTGCTGTGACGAAACTCCATTAGAAAATAAGTATTGTGTAATTTGTAGTGAGAATGTATTCAAAAGATTTTATGTTTATGATCTTGTTCTTTTCAAGTGTATTTATAGATAAAAATTGTTATAAAATTTG